CGAAGAAATTTCTGGCCCTTCCGCGATTTTCCACAGTATCCATTTGCACATTTCTCATCACCCCTGACATTTTCTGGGAATTCGGATTATTCGAAGCAAAGACTTAATAACTTTGTTGATTTTTACCTTTTAATATCTGAAGTCACAAATGAACGTGAGTTAAAATTTAGAGTTAAAGTATTATGCAAATCGAGACAAGACGGAGAACATGATGAGCCGATGCACTTCTCAATCGGCGATACTCCGACTGGCAGTAGTACTACTAGTGTTACTAGTGTTACTAGTGTACTAGTGTTCAAAATAGCCGCTATACGTTGTTGTGATAAACCAGCAAACAAATGCATTAAGTATATACCTGGCATTGCACTATCGTTCACACCGTTCCGTAAACATTGGCACATTTCGTCGAATTCCTTCCTTATTTGGAAGGGAGTGAGGTAGACCAAGTAGATGCATTTTTTTTTTTTTTTTTAATTCTTCAAATACATGTTACAACCACCTACTAGGTGTAAATTAACTTTTCTTTACAAATAAAGTAACTTAGAAATTGACTAACGTCCCATTTCGGTTTTTCACCTTGATATAAGTGCATAGTCTATTAGACTATTAGTCTATTAGTCTATTAGACTAACGTCTAATTTTGGTTTTTAGCTTTAATGTAGATGCATAGAATTACATTTTATTATTCAACCAGACGCATTTCGGCCCAAGGAGCCATCTTCAGTAGGATACATATGGGAGCACAGCATACAAGCAAATATACATATAATATTGAAAAGCATGCAATTTAGACTAAAACTACGGGTATAATAACTACATTATCAGTGGCACAGGTGGAAAGTTAATAAAAGAATTTACTGGTTCCTCTTTAAACTGGTCCAGATTTTAAGATCAGCGTCCGATAAATTCACGAAGTAATCATTTTTGAAGCCTTATTTGCTACTTGTTTCATGAAAAACTATACTTTGACGGTCAGCTAGTAATAAATTAATTATTGCGTCAATTTCTGCGACTGTGAAAGAACGATCACAACACTTTTCTAATATTGCATCGATAAAATCGTCCGCAAAAGTTCCATCTACGAAATGACAAGCATTACATTGGGTTTTGGCCGAAATAAAAAGTTTTATGTTTCAAAATCATTTCGATTCTCACTTCTTTTCTTATGCAAGCTAAGTTTTCACTCTTTTTACGTTTAAAAATTCACTTACGGTGACTCCAACGAGTAACTTTCAATGAAAGCTTAACCTTAGCCTCTGGTTCCAAGTCCACATCCATTCCGCTTTCATCAAGGGTACTCGCATCATTTTTAAGTCCACCGTCACACTTTGAGTTAGAGTCAATAAAGCAAATAAATTATTATAAATATTTGAAAAAATTAAAAATATAGAACAAAAATAAAATAATGACAACGCCTAAATGAAGTAATAAACGAATTTTAAACAAAAGAATATGGTTTAACGAAATTTATGGCACACTGGATATTTTAAATGTAAACTTACTTCAAAACTGTAATGTACAGATTACAGATGCAGAATGATCTTGTACAGTACTCATGTTTCTATTTATTACTAAATTGTTATCAATTAGTTCTGAAAACAAGATTTTTGACAATTTCTTTGGTCGCCCAGTTGTGGCGCTAAAGCAAAGATAGATATATCCACCTCAAAAGTTTGTGCCTGCACCAACCTGCATTCTGAATCATCTTCATCACTAAATACACACATATTTGATCGAGCTTCATTGATTCATTAATCATTGATCTAGACCAAAAATTGGACCAGTCGGAAAGATTTGCGTCAAAATTTAATGTAGCGTTTCTCTTTTCAATGCAGTCTCTCTGTTTTTAACTGAGAACGGCAGTTTGCGTGGTATTTCGTGGAATAAAAAATGAGTGCTTCGATGATATTTTTATTTTTATTCAGCTCATTAAACGCAACAAACCGTGGTAATACATTCACCTAGATATGATTTTTTCGTCCGGTTTTTCTTGAGTTCATAACGGAATAATGATTTTTCTTCTACAAATCCTGTAGATTAGATTGGAGGAGTTTATCTTCGTGCATTGTCTTACAAAATACATACATACATAAAGTCGCGATTATAGCGCCGCCTCGCGCTCTGCGACGCCCAATCGCCATTGCCCCCTATCCTCCCAGAGATCATCAGGCAATTGGCACCTTCTGATCTCCTCCTCCACCCCTTGTCGCCAACCTTTCACAGGACGTCCACGCCGTCGCCTTCCGGGAAAAAACAAATACAAAATACAAATTTACAATAATCATCAGTGTTGTGTTATAACTTTAAAAGAGTTTTCATAATAACAATTAGTTCTTAAAAATTAATATGTTCATGGGCAAGAAACAATTTTCCCTAAAAAATCTGTACACTTCTATGTGCATGCATATTGCATAGTCATAAAAATAAGGCGATGTACATTTCGGAATTTTCTTCCTTCTTCAGGCCAAAATTTTGATCATTGTGTTTCACTCTTTCCTTGTGCGCGTTCGATGGCATGAGAGACACATTTAAAATATTAAATATTAATTAAAATATTATAATTCATCCGGTAAAATGACAAAACCATAAAATGTAATGCATACAGTTCATGAAATTGGATGATAGATCCGCCTAGACATCGTAACCCAGTCTCTGTTACGATAGTGAGAGCTTCGCCATTTTCTTCTTCTTAGGTAGGCGTGTAGCCAAAGTGCCAAAAAAATTTGCAAGGGTTAACTTACATGAAATGATTTAATGAAATAGTTTTTGGTCGAAGTTTTTCAGCATCTTTGCCATCGTCAGGACCTTTCTATTGAGAAAACGAAATTTAAACTACATTTTTTAATTGCCATCGTCAGGACCTTTATATTGAGAAAACGAAATTTAAACTACATTTTTTAATTGCCATCGTCAGGACCTTTATATTGAGAAAACGGAAATTTAAACTACATTTTTTAATTGCCATCGTCAGGACCTTTATATTGAGAAAACGAAATTTAAACTACATTTTTTAATTGCCATCGTCAGGACCTTTATATTGAGAAAACGAAATTTAAACTACATTTTTTAATTGCCATCGTCAGGACCTTTATATTGAGAAAACGAAATTTAAACTACATTTTTTAATTGCCATCGTCAGGACCTTTATATTGAGAAAACGAAATTTAAACTACATTTTTTAATTGCCATCGTCAGGACCTTTATATTGAGAAAACGAAATTTAAACTACATTTTTTAATTGCCATCGTCAGGACCTTTATATTGAGAAAACGAAATTTAAACTACATTTTTTAATTGCCATCGTCAGGACCTNTTAAGGGAGGGTCCCCCCATCCCCCGGGACCGATCTGCCGAAGCCATCATTGTACCCGGAGTCAAGGGCGTAGGAGGAGAGCCTAGGCCCAGCTTGCGCCAAACCCTGCGACAACTCCACGGCAGGGCTCTGGAGCCGAGAACTGGAGGGCAGGGAGGGCAGACCAGCTACGTCTCGCTCAGCCCTCGAGGCACCCGATCTTATGCGGCCCCAGAAGGGGGCAGCCTACACATGACTCAGCTCCGCGGGTGCGTCGAACCCGATATCCCCAATTGGATAGCTTGCGGTAGGTTGAACTCCGTCTGTAACTCTCTGTAGAACTGAGTTTACCAACAAGGATGCCTCATAGGCTCCTGCAATCAATTGATCCCGCTCATTGCGCGCTGTCGCGAAATCATGTAACCAGTTCCAAAATGTTATGGNGGGGGGGGGGGGGGGGGGGGGGGCAAAGCAGGACCACCACGATGGTAAATGACGAAAGGTATCGATGGCCAGTGTATTGCCATCGCAGCCAGGCTGGGCCCTGCAGCTGGTGCTAGCCGGCGCCCTGATGCGCTGAGCCAGTGTACATATTGGATATCAGCGAGTTTGAAGTCGATATCCAGGAACAGGGCAAAATCCCCACGCTGAAGAGGGTCAGCAATGATCGAAGGACCCACATTAACTGGTGTTGTGTCCTCAGCAATTACCTGAAGTGGGATGGGAAAAGCTGGGTATAATAGTGGGATGTTCTCTTGAGTGCAACGCTCCATGAGTAGGCAATAAAATATGCCTTTCACGTATAGCCACTTGTTGTCATATCTATACATTGAGCTGTTTATTAGGGGTGCAACCATTCTGGTAAGGTTTAAATTCCCGAGGACAGGATACAGTGCTGCTGTCAGTTTCTTATCATCAGGCTGTCCTCCCGGGAGGTACGTGCCAAGGGCGTCCTCGGCGAGAGCTCCCTCAATGTAGGGCAGCTTGAATGTGATGGAATGGCGCACTGTAAGTTTTAATCTGGGCTCATACCCGCCAAGAACTAATGATATTGGTGGGTAGACAGTAACACCCCCAGTTGCAGCGGGTCTAGCCAATTGCGATTGGAGGACTACACCATGCATCATTGGCTGGTAAGTAATACGCACGTCTTGACGTCGGATAAGGTAATTACCTAGATCATAGAAGCTTCTTTTCACATATTCTCTTTCTGCTGCTATATTGGCAATCACTGGCGTGATATGATCGGATTCTATTGTATGAAGTCCAAAGTGGGATCTGAGTACTCGGTCGCTAGGGGCTGGTTTGGGATCGGCTCCAGGGGTTGCACTTGATGTTGAGCTGCTGGCACTTGTCGCATGGCCTGCACCAAGATTAGCGCCAGGGGTCCGGATGAACTTCTTCTTTTTAGTAGGTGGGTCAGCCGTGTTAGATGATTGGAACTGCAACAAATAAGATTTTACCAGGGAAGGTACACACTCGACCCTGGGGAGATGACAGCTTTGAGACACGAGGAAGACACTAGGAAGACACTTTAATACAACCACGGTAAATGAAAATACAAACGAAATTTAAACTACATTTTTTCCAATTGTCAATAATAACCTCGGTAGGCACTTGTTGACTAGGTACGAATGTAAATACAGACAAGACGTTTCACGGATTCTACCACCAATATGTTACAAATTATCAATTTTCTTCTTGACAGATGATGCATTTATCCCATCGAGCCGCAATTGGGAACGATATCACTGCTGAACAATTGACACTCTCTAACGCACTGGTTTCTTCGCTTGACTCGTAGCAACATCGGAATGTTTGTATTTTGCCCCGGCCGGAATGCCACTGATTTTAAATTCCAAGAAAAATTTGGCACCACTTGAGAGTTTTCATCTCTTTCGCGGTCTCAGCCAATCTCAGCCGATCAAAGAGCTTTACTGCTCAAACTTATTTTTACCACTTCTCTTCGGACGCTGGTGAATATTGTGCACACATGAACTGACCATAAGTTCCAGGATTTGATCTGCAATTCTTCATTCGTGTTTTTACTTATGGGAATAGCAAATTCAAGAGTCTTTAACCATGGACTTTATTGTTAAATGGAGTGGTCCATGGAACCTGATTTATGGAATGGGTTTTAACATGGTTCCTTCCCAATGAAGGTCTACTCGCCGAATCGAATACTAATTTTTGAACTAAACTACCACAAGCAATCATTATTCCCAAATAAGTAAAACAAGTTTAATACTATAATTTAGAAACAATCACTCCATGTTTTTTTCGGGCTTTTTGGCTGAAACCATATAAAAAGAAACCTACCAAAACAGAACTACCATGTGGAATACATGAGCGCGAGACTGATCCATGAACTGCATTGTATTCATTTGTACATATCTTAAACCTGTAACACAAAGCTTTTAATATTTCAGAAGATTAAATTTATAAAAAAAATAAATAATAAATTAAAAAAAGTAAGTAAGCAAGGCAGAGAATTGTATAATTCCTGTCTGTTAGATATTGGGTTTTATTATCTAACGCCACTTTGTTTACTTAATGACATTAATTTAGTTTATTTAAATAAAGTCTATTTTAAAAAGAAGAAGACAAAATTTTGCCCTGAGTTCTTTCCGCACCAAAATATGCAACCCCCCACCTCTCCTCCTGGGCCCAAGGAAGCTTCCATTCGGGCGATGCAAACCCCCAATTTGCATTTGAAGCACTCATCGGGCACTGCACACCCTCGATCTGAAACGGCCGGGCCGTAAACGGAACGCAGCGACACCTAGAAATCGGGAGATACAGCACGATTTCCCACCGATTAATTTATTGGGACTCATGAACCCCTCTCCCCTCCCCCATGGTCCTGAACTCCAATCGATCATCAAGTCTATTAAACGCCACAGAATATTGAACATGAAATGAGCTTGTATCCGAGAGTGCGTTGCATAGTTGCCGCGGTGCGGTGACAACGTCATTCGATACTTGAAGTAAAAATAATCGGAACCCATTGGACCCGTTCGAACTTCGAATAGTTTTGCCGCGCTTTAAAGCGCGGTTAAATTATAGCAGCAAATCAGATGGTTATAATTGAACCATCGAATGTTTGCACTAGAGTATATGGGCGAGTATTGGTATCTCAATACTTTTACTACAGAAATAGTGTGCCGCTCTCTGATTGGTCAGCTACCCGGGAGCCCCAAAGTTGGACCTGGTCAGCTACCCGGGAGCCCCAAAGTTGGACCAATGTGAACAAACCCCAGCCCCTCCGCCCATAGTTTGACCCCATGTAAGACGTGATTTTGGATGTGATGGAAATTTTTTAATATCTAGCTTCTGCGGTGATGACTAAAAACACGGAATGAACGGTCTTAGTAATAGCCTTACTAGTTCATCATCTGAACTTTTTTACTGAGTCCACACGATTTGCCTAAGATTTCAAGATACGGCACCCTGCTTCCCTTTAAGTAGTGCACCGAAGTTTTTCTTTTCAATCTACCGATTAAATCTGAAATCTGATCCAATCAGAGCTGTGTAGCTCTTGAATTTGTGTGTTATCCGTGCACCTATTTCCTGGTTATCCTACTGAAAGTGTGAGACCAGCCACAACCGTGACCTGCTGACTTATTTCTTTGATCCAATCTCTTGTAAATGATGACTCAAATTCTGAGGCCATCATTTATTGAAACTAGTTCAAAGTTTTTTCTCCAGAGTATCGTCACCGTCACTCCTTAAACTGAGGCAGGAGGAAGGAGATATTTTGGTGAGTGCTCTATGATCCAAGATTTGCAATTCGAGATAAGAATACGGTTTTTATCGAGGCATGTGACAATTTTTGGTCGTTGAACCACTTGTCATAATGGAGCCTTGGCGTTAGAGATGTATCAACTGTGGAAAGTGGCTCTGCTTGTGCAAAAATATCTTGTGACATAGCAGTGAGTGTCAATTTGAAATCTGCACCCGGAAACCGATGCTGACAGCTCCCCTTGTCCGGCACCGCTAACTTCTGAATTACTTGGACTCTCAGTGTGATGGATGCTTTTGCCAAAAATTAACCTGTGAGTATGATTATCATTCATTTCTCGGTCCAACTTAGGAGCTTCATGATAGTTTGTCTGGTGCATGAGAATTTTTCCTCCGCGTTTTGTCTTTACATATTCACAATAGTAAATAATTGATAGTTCTAAAGGTCTGCTTCCTAAGTTTCCCGTGAAATTTTTATCGAGTTTCGTCCTAAAACTATCCTTTTTTGATGATTTGCCAATAATCTACCGTAATCTAAATGTAAACCGCACAGAGCTCTACCAATGAAATGAGCTATCTAAGGAGCGACTATGAATACGGCCCCATATCGTCGCTCCTATTAAAGCTCAGTTGCGTTGGGATGATGCGCCTCTGGAAAATTTTGTGCAGTATTTGTTCAGCTTGATTTTTCGCGCTCTTTCACGTGCCGTAATCCGTTTTTCCGAATATCATCTACGAAAAAATGTATAGCAATTTTGAAATTCGGGAACGCTTATAACGCCATTTCCCTAAGACGTCCTTGAAAACACGAAAAATGAACAGTACGCTAATTAATAACCCTCCACGTTAACTGTCAGCTGACAAAATAAGGAGGAGTTACGCTGGAAGAAAGGAACACATTTGATCTAGAAACCAGACTCTTGAAAACATTGACAAGAAAAGATACTCTTGATTCGATCAGATTTTTGCTTAAATAAAAAAGAAATCCGCTGAAATTAAGAGGCTTGGTTCTTGATTTAAGCAAAAATCCGATTGAATCAAGAGTCCTTGTTCTTGTCAATGTTTTCAAGAGTCTGGACTCCAGATCCGATGTGTTTTTGCCCCAGTGTACATCAATTACAAAGAAAAAAAAATGCCAACTTTTAAGGTGTATACCTTATGAATCCGTTTTTCCGAATATCATCTACGAAAAAATTTAGAGCAATTTTAAAATTCGGGAACGCTGGTGGTGCAGGAGGAACCCAAACAAGGATTTTCTTCGGCAGCCTTTCTGAATGTTTTACTTTTTCATCGGTAAATCTCGACAGTTTTCGGGGAAATCTGGCAGGAGGGGTGCTTCGGAGGAGCAAATGAGGATGCGCGGTGTGAGCGTGAATAATGGAGCATACGCTACCGAGCGCTCACCCCTGGTTCGGCATCGCGGATGCAACGCGCGAAATGCATAATGCGGCTCCATGTATATTACATGCTTATTTATCCAACAGGGGTTTATCCGCTAAACGATGTCGCGACTCAATCGAGCGGACGCAAATACCACTTCCTCTTCCTCCGCCAACCCCCTCCCCCGCCCCCAAAATCCACCCCATCGGGGTCCGACCCCACGTCAACAGGGATGACATCAGGAATGACAAAAGTTATCCTTATCAGTTGTTGACTTCCTGATTACTGAACTTTCCCTCGCTGTTATTTACTTCTATCCGACGGGAAGATTATTTAAACTGCATTTTGCAATTTGGAACTATTTGTCTGATTTCCCCTTTATAAAAAATAATAATAATTATAATAAATTCTAGAAATCAATTTCTCAGCATTCTCAACTCATATCAGACCAATTCACAAAATTAAAACGTGTAAAATGATGTAAAATTGCGATGTTCCCAAACGGTCTCCATTTCAAGCATTACGATCAATGTAGCTTAACCTTGGTGATCGGGCGAACAACTCTGCACTAGACGTCAACTTTCAACCGCGCAGTAATGAGATCCTTTGTTCAGCAGCCCGCAAGCGCCGCCGCCAATGACGAGTCAGCGCGCAATCGCAGTACCTGCCGCAGCCAATCACAAGTCACCGCGGCGCACGAGATTTGAACTTCGCCACAACAGAGCCCGCGCAATACAAATTCAGCGGTCAGTGGCAGCTTTCCCGCCCAATTCACTCTTGCTTCGCCAACCGACCAATCACAAGCAAGTTGGTTTCCCGCATTTGCACACAAAGGAAATCTGCATATAAATATACCCGCAAGTCGCTAATCAATTCATTCTGAATGCAGCAGTCGACCAAGAAGCACTTCACTCTCAAGCTCTCAACAAGGATCAAGTCAAATCAAGCCAAGCAAGCAGCTGAAGAAACATCCTAAGGAGCTCAGCAAGAAATTGGCGTTTTTTGGATCAAGACCGAAGTTCAGTCTCCCGTTATATTGGCACCAAGGTCAAGCATTAGCGGTCATCATTACACAGATCGAAGCAAATTCATCTTTTCAAGCATTCAAAATTATTCACCTTCAAGTCATCTCTATTTCGGACTCATACCGTTTGTATACCACCTCCAATTTGGAGAAGCCAATTCTTCGGAATCTGGAATTAATAATAAGTGCAATAGCACACAGCTCTCAATATTCAAACCCTTCTGGTTTTCCTGCTTACGGCAGAAGCCGGTGTACTATACGCCTGGTAACCCTTCAGGTTTCCTATCCACGGATAGTAGCCGATTCACTCAGAGTCTGGTAAAAATAAAAACTCCAAGCAGGATCTTTTCCAGATCATTAAATCAATTTTGCAGTCACCTCGAATCTTTCTCTTCTCACTCTCATTTTCCGAGCCAAGGCAAATTGGGGGGTCGCTACGGCTCTTCACTTGTCTCACTCTAAACCTCATATCCTATTCCATCTTTTCTTTCTTTCCTATCATTTCTTCAATTGGTCCCTCGGTAAAATTCACTTTCAACCTTTAGGTCTATTGTTGTTTTTTCATCATTTTTTTGAGCCGTCACTCTTCACTATTAATTCTGGCTCTCATGGTAAAATACTTACGTGCATAGAGAAACGAATGGCACATACGTTGTTTTTAAACGAGGCTAGAATCTATAGGTCCAAATTGCAAAATGTAGTCCATTTTTTCCTCTTATTATTATCTATTGGACGTACTTATTAATGCCAAAAGGAACCAATATTTCTGACCAATTTTAGAAATAGCGTATAATGCCATTAACTTCCTGTGCAGAAATTAGCTTTTATGGGATAACTAGAGATAGTGGATCCTTATTGCAAAACGTAATCCAAACGACGTGCAATATGTCGATCAGTTCTATGTCTGGTGAGTGTCCTTTTTCAAAACTGATGTGTGAATTCAGCAATGTTTTCTGCGTAAGTGTAAAGGAAAGTTCGTGAAGTGAAAAAAATCGTGAGAACAAATTTTCTAGTGGTGACAATAAGTGAGTGGTGCCTATGAATTTTCACACCCTGATTTCCAACAAGGAAACCATTGTTCATAATCGCGTAAGCTTTTGTCGCAAAATTAATCGAAGTTGTCGGCAAATATTAAAACGGATTTTGAAAAAAGAGGAGAAAAAAGGGGGGGGGGAGGAG